AACCCACCCTGACACCCCCAACTCCTACCACCCCAGCGACGGCGTTGACTACAAGATGACCGGCAAGATGTTCAGCGGCCTGGCCCAGACCGGGGCGTGGGCATGCCTCGACGAGTTCAACCGAATCGAGGTCGAGGTGCTCAGCGTGGTCGCCAGCCAGATAGCAGCGGTCATGCAGGTCGGTCAACCATGGGTCTGCGACGCACAGCTGTGGAAAACCAGGCAACAGACCCTGCCGGGCCAGGACAATCCGATGGGTCGCACACGCGTTGAAATTGGCGAAGAGTAATGTATGCAGAATGCCGTCAACATCAACAAGCGGAGCAGCGCAACAGCCTGAGTCTGGATTCACCTCTGGTGCCACCGCAACCCGCTGCGCCCCTCCAGGCCGTCAAGGAGGAGCGCAAGGTGTTCAACTTCCTGGGCCAGGACATCCGCCTCATACCCACCTGCGGCATATTCGTCACCATGAACCCCGGCTATGCTGGCCGCAGCGAGCTGCCAGACAACCTCAAGGTGGGCAGTCGAGCTGCGTGCACCTGCACAGCAAGTGGCTGTGGTCGCGTGCCTGCCACGTGCGTGTGCATGTATTGGTGTGCTGTTGCCTGCGTGCGCCTGCGCTTTCGCGCTCATGTCGCCTGGACACTGCGCCTCTTTCTCATAGCTTTGTATCATCCTTGGATTCGCAGCCACATCAAGCTTGCACACCCGCTCCCTCCCTCTCACACCTCCTCCTGCACCGCCAAACCCAGCATCCCCGAAACACACCTCTGAAGTACCCTTTGCCCCCTCACATGCCTTTCCTCTCTCTCCCCAGGCCCTGCTGCGCCCCGTGTCCATGATGGTGCCTGATTTTGTGCTCATCGCGGAGATCATGATGTTCAGCGAGGGCTTTGGCGCCGCCAAGGCCCTGGCGCGCAAGATGGCGGCCATCATGGAGCTCTCGCAGCAGCAGCTCTCAAAGCAGGACCACTACGACTACGGTGAGGGGCGGGGGGGCAGGGGGTCGAGGGGGCATTGGTGCAAGAATTGGGCCGCGAGTGGCGTGTGGGCAGGTTTTATGAAGAGAGGAGGCCGTCGGCGGGGGTGAGGTTCAGGCCGGGCCAATGCTGACTTGCAAGATCCCAACAACTACAGCGGCTTGCGGCGGCTTGTTGCCGCGTGTACGATCAGAATGTTGCACAATAAGCTAGCACGCTAGTGGTCAGAGGGCGAGCTCCTCACCCCAGGCCACCCTTGCCTGCCACACATACACGTCCAGGCTTGCGCTCGTTCGTCATCCCCATCGCCCGGGCGGCGGGCGTGCTCAAGCGCGCGGACCCGGAGGCCCCAGAGGAGGTCATCCTGTACCGGTGGGGCGGCTGTTGCATTTTTGATCTGTTACAACGGCTGACGACACATGATTATGCACAAACAGCTTGCAAAGGGCTTGCAGCAGCTTGCATGCACGCACCAGCGCGGGCGGGCACCGCAGGCCGTACCACACCGCACCGCCCAATACATTGCACAATTACAGTAGCAGCACAACCCCAACCCTGAGCCTGCGATTCCTCCTCCCTTGCCCGTTCCCCTCCAAACCCCCGCAACCTCAGCACCATGCTGGACCTTATCCGGCCCAAGCTGGTGTTCCTGGACCTGCCCCTCTTCATGGCGCTGCTCTCAGACCTCTTCCCGGGGGTGGAGCTGCCGCCGCCGGAGGGCGGCTTGCTGGGGGCCGCAGTGGAGGCAGAGCTGCGGGATGCGGGGCTGCAGGTGGGGTGGGGTGGTTGCGGGGGATGGGGTGGTGGTGGCTGAGGTTTTCTGGTCTTGCCGGGTAATGTCTACTCATCTACAGACCTCATCCTAGCTTCACCTTGCCAGCCCCTCTCAACTCCAACATTGTCCACTTGGTGTATACGTAAGGGTGGGCTGCCTGCACCATCACAGACTGTTGTCCATACATCCTGCCCGTCAGGTGGTGCCCGAGTTTGTGGCGAAGATCATACAGATCTTCGATTGCAAGGTCGCCCGTCACGGCAACATGATTGTCGGCCGCACCGGCGCTGGCAAGAGCGAGGCGTGGCGCTGCCTGGCGCGCGCTACGGGGCGGTTACGAAGGGAGGGATCAGAGGACGCGAGGTTCCAAAAAGTAGGGCTTGGCTGGAGGGGCATTCTTGTTATCACATCAATGGCTTATGAGATATGCATGACCCGCGGCAATGGATGTATGGTGACCTCTGCACATCCAGGGTCAGCATTGTTGACAGCCAGCCTTACTGCAAGCAAATGGCGACGCCTGATACCAGCACACCTTTGGGTTCACATCAGCCCACTTCAGACCAATTCCCCCATCTCCTTTGACCCCTGGGGACGCCTTGCAACCCACCCTCTCACCCACCCTCTCACCC